ATAGAGTAATAGTACGCCGACTTCAATCTAATGAAGATTTCAGAAAAATAAAAGCATGGAGCGAGCCATTCATTGGGCTAAGACGATTGCGGATGCAAAGATTTGTGGTAAGGTCTGTGTTTTATAATAAAAAAAATTAACGACGCAGGTTTTGAAACTGGAAAGGGCTTGCTTAGGGTAGAACTTATTTGAATGCAACAATGGCTAGAATAAGAGCCAAATAAATAAAAGATGTTTGGCAAAATTTTAATAATGCATATGAAACTAAGTGCCCACTTTTGCTTTGACCACGAGAGCTTAAGATGATAATTATGGGAAAGGACATGACAATAAAATGGGAACAAGAACCTGAGTCAAGCCAACGTTCCAGCGATCCTCCAAGGGATTGTTAGCTGCTAATTGATTCATGTAGACCCTCTTTATGGGACAAAACGCAGAAATCAAACTTGATTCAACGTATCGCGAGAAATCGATAAGAATGGCACTTTTTTTAAGTATGTTGTCGACATCAACAGCCTGCTTCTTTGTACCCAATAACCGAAAGGCGTGAAAAAAATCATCCACATAAGTGGGGTAATAACGCTTTTGAGAAAACGGTGCGTAATTGGCGCATTTTGAAAAGAATTTCACAGGGAAACACAAAGGGGAGGCGAATTGCCAAGACGTCTGCATAGCGGAGAGAAGCAACCAAATTCCCACCTAAGTGCGTATTCGATCATAAACAAGCAAATGGGCTGCTTATTCACATTATAGTACACCGACTATTAAACCACATGTTTATGGTTTTTAAATGTATTTATTTAATTTCATGCTAACTTTGGGCAATTTTTAAGTGTACTAACTGCTTTAATTATTATTATTCGGCTCGCCTCTTCAACGCCCAGAAGCATGTTGCTAAGACTGACAGGACTCTCTGATGATACCGACTACCAAACCAGCAAAGCATCTATGAGTGTAACAGGACTGCAGTTAGCATTAGAAATTATCATAACTTTTATAGTAGAGGACTTCAAACAAGGCGTGTTCATCTAAGTCGCGAGGACAGCATAAAATGTTTGGAAATAAAGTCAAACCGCCTATACTAAGGAGTAGAAACTCTATTTATTTTCTCAAATTTAAAATTGATTTACGTTTAACTTAATTAAGTATTCTATAGACTTAGGTTACTTCTAAAAACCTACCTTGTATGTATCATATTATATTATTTTTAGGGATATTTATAGGCCCAATGCTAAGGGACCACACCAACGTTCAGAATTTCATCTAATTTTTTATTAACTATTTTGTTTAGCTTTGATTTTCTAAAATATTTTTCATACATTTTTTATACTTTTAATAGTTAAAATTCTACTGCAATAGATTCGTTAATAGATTACTAAATTCTACTTACTGTGTATCAACATTTCAGTTTTCCCGAACAAGTTGGCACTCATTCGATATGCCTTCTACAAAAATTATTAACCTAATGTAGTGGCTTGCATAAATCACTGGTAATGAGTTGCATTCAAAAGCAAACTTTATATTATCTTTATCCGGAT